GACAAGATGGGTAACAATTTTTATCTTAAATTCAGCTCCTAATAAAGTGGAAATACCACATGAGAAATGTGCATACTGATATCCTAATTCCTATGAATGTATATGCATCGGAATATACTCTTCAGGCGAAATGGCTTTCTGGCCACTTAAACTTGTATCGGTTTGTAAAGCCGATATATGAACTTATATTTTTCTCATTTGAACACTTCAACGTGACGGAATGAATACTAATAAATACTTTCTATTGAACATGTTCGTCAATCGCTCTGACATGAATGTCATGTCACATGTTTGGTCTTTATTATATGACATGTGAATTTATGGGTCCTATATTATTAGGAAAAAAAATTTAATCTTTAAAAATTTTAATTTCTTTTTCGTTCTCTTTTTTCTCCACCATACACAGCCTATCCAACAACTCTAAACCTTAGCCATTTTCAACCACCATCATCTTCTTCCTCCTATAAGAAAGCTTCGTCCAAACTCCAAACCTCACCAATATACAATGGGACATGGATAGTCCCTCCCGAGAACTACTCGACTTTGATTCCAAACCCTGCCCTCCTCATATTGATGGCTTCTTCGCTAAGCCCCACCTGCAAACCCTAGATTTTTCCAAAACAGCTCTAGTCCGATATGGAAGAGCTCAGTGACGGCCAAGAAGAACCAGATGATAATGATGCTAATGAATCAGATATCCGGTCTTACATTTCTTTTTCTAGTTAATCATCGCATAACAATTTGGACTATTTTTAGATTTGTGTTTGTCATCCTTGTTCATGAGCCATTTAATGAATGTGGAAGAGAAAGAGAAAAAGAAACGGGGAAGGGGGGGGAAGTAGGATAGAAAATGAAAAATATTTACCGGACGGGGGAGTTGCTTGGGAAGATGAGAGAGGTGGGAGGGGAGGGGAAAAGAGAAGGGGGAGAGAAAGATCTTTTTTCCCTTTCTTATTTATATTTTATTCTATTTCTAATATTGTTTTAATAAAAATAAAATTATTCACGCGCTTTGACAGCGTGATTTGCACACAATTTAGCCATGTCAGCTGTGTCACTTCCTCATAGGCTTGGTCAATGGTCAAATGTGTTTATTAGTATTCATTTCGTCAAGTTGAAGTGTTTAAATGAGAAAAATATAAGTTCATGTATCGGCTTTACAAACCGATACAAGTTTAAGTGGCCAGGAAGCCATTACGCCTACTCTTTATGAGCTAAATTAATCAATTTTGTCCATCCGAAAACAAATCCAGCACCTCAGCGGGCCACAGTACAACTTTGTTTTTTGCGCTGGTACTAGCGTGGATGTAGGACACCGGGTAAATAAAACCAACTAACCAACCGAATGCTTATATGCTCATTGTCACAAAATATTTTTTAGTCGCATTTACATCAAATCAAATAATTTAATATAATAATTTTATTTTATTATAATTAAATAATAAATATCTGTATAAAAATACATATTTTTCATTCATAGATTTGATATAAATATTAAAGGTGGATAAATTTATACTTTCTTTGGCAGAGGCGGAGTGAGAGTTTGAAGTTTACGAGTTCAACATTTTATTTCCTTTAAGTTACCGCGTTTTAAATTAACAATTTCTACATATTCAATGAATTTCATTAGACAAATATAGAATAAGGACCAAAGTTATTGGATTCCACCGAACCCGTAACCCCATGTCTCTTCGGCCCCCTTCTCTTCGTTATTTGTCTCTTTCTTTCTCAACGGAAATAAAACTAGAGAAATATACATGGCACGTCACTTTTTAAAAAATATTTAAGAAAATGTTAGCAATCTTTATTTATTACATAAAGGGAAGATTTTTTTACATTTTAATTACCATGGCAAAAGGCACAAATCATGGGATCTTTGCAATTTCACATTCTCTCTCATCGTTAAAAGAAATCAGATGCACTCTCGCTTCATAGTATCTCCTTCCAGCATCTTCTTTTCTCCAATCACTCAATCTATCAAAATATTTGGAATTTTGCCATGGTACCATAATATGGATTTTCGGAATTCGCCCAAATTGTTCAGAAAAATCTCGAAATTTTGCTCAATCATTCCAAAAATTCACAAAGATTTCACAAATAGTGTAACGTTTTTATCAGTACACTCTAATTTCATTATATATTCTAAGATTGTACCTTGTATGTCAATTTAACTTACAGTCATGCTTCTCGACGCAATGATTTTTTCCCTCAGCATTATTTCATACTTTGTGCTAAGCGTTGTATCAGTTGCCAGTGTTGCGTTTCTGTTTGTATTATTCCAAGCCCCAACCAGCTTCATCAAGTAGTCAAGCATATCGTAGATAGGTAGATCCCTCGCTGCCTTATTCGCAGAATTCATGGATTCCACAATATTTGAGGTCATCACCATGGACCTGTTAACGATTGAATGCGCTACCGACCACCTATCATATCCAATGTTGAATAAGTACGGTTTAACTCTCCCATCAATATTACATATTTCTGACATGTATTGGTTGAATTCCTCATTTGTGTATGCTTTAACCATAGCAAAAAATAAGGGCCTTATTTTCTTTTGGCTTTTCTTGAACCTCAACTTTATGTTGTTCCATAGATGGAATATGCATACACAGTGAGGCACTTCTGGATACACAACTGACGTTGCCTTCAAAATGCTTTTATTCCTGTCAAATACGATGCACATTCCTTCCCTTATACCATATGTTTCTCACAAATTCTGGAAGAACCACTCCTATGATGCATCATTCTTCGAATTAACCACAGCATACACGAGCGGGAATATTTTACCTTATTGAACATAGCAAAAATTAACTTTGTTTAAAACTTAAATTATACAACATATCAAACAAAGCAGATTTGTTGTAAAGGTATGCCGATATGATACATTATACATGATATATAATAAAAAGATACATGTTATACTAAATGTAAAGCTGCTATAGCATCAAAATAGTCGGATAATTTATACACGTTACACATGAAATGTATTATACATGAAATAATTTCCATTATGATTATTATATTCAATGAATGTTTACTTCAACTCACCTGTAGCATCTTGGGTGCAAGCCGTTATAGGTCCCTCTGTGTGTTGATTTTAGAAAGCTACCATCGACAACAACATTAAGCATGCAGTACTCTCACCCTTTAATTGATGAGTAGAGTGTTACATATACATACAAGAAGCACTCGTCATCTGATCTTTCTAACCTTGTCACTGACCCAGGATTTGTATGCATTAACATATACAAAAACCTCGGCAGCTTATTATACGAATTGCTTGGTTTACCTCTCAACAGTTCAAACGATTTTTCCCTCGGCCTCCATGCTTTCATATAGTTCAAATCAACTTCATAATCCCTCTTGAGGCCACGTTTTATTTCTGCTGGAGTATACTCCAACTTTGGATCATCTAACTTGTTCATTATCAAACTTCCAACGAGATTAGAGGTAGCCTGCCGCTGTGAAGATAATCTGGAATTATTTCCACGTGTGTGAACTTTCTTAAACTTTCTCACCTTGAATATATTCGAGGTGTTTAGGCTTGATGCCTTAAGATTCCATGAGCATTGATCATCCACACATACAAGATAATACCTACAGTATAAATACATTAGTTACTTTTTTGGTTTCAAATACAAAAATTAAATTAGTAACTTGGTTAAAAACTCGAATTATATATACTGGCACATATAAATCATACATATACCATTCCATATATATTTCGTGCATATGCTCTAAACCATCAATTTAATCTTTTTACCCAAATATTATACTAAATTTATACCATTTAACAGTAGTATATGGGAATATACCATTGCTAAATACTAAATTTACAAGACATGAAGTACACTTGCTACAATTAGCTATATACACGTATCTTCAGCCGGCCATATGTAGATAATGAGTGAAATTTATATAAGATTATTCGATAACTTTACATTTACCTTGTTTTATTTGAACGATCAACCTTGAACTGGAACTTCTCTCGGATTGCAAGATGTTTCATAGCATTTTGCAGTACATCCTTATTTTTGTACAACTGCCCTTCATTAACCTCTTGATGTGTACTGATGCCGATTATACACTCTTCAACGATATGCATAACATCATTGTCCTCTCTATTTCCGGAATTATTCCATTCAACCGGTTCCATATTAATGTCAACCATTGGTAAATTCTGAAAATGACTGGAGTTTGCCTTGTTAACAACAGGAATCGAGCATGTAGCGTCATTACCCTGCCCTTTAAACGTTATACACAATGGATAATCCGTGAAAGATAACTTTTTGCTTTTCAACTCCAAGTACAAGCTCAAACTCCTTTCGTCGTATAATTTCATGGGTGGAAAATACTCTTTCACGGAATATTGAATATCCATCATATCAGTATTTGCGTCGACTCCAAGTATCTTTGATATCTCCGAACGAATCGATTTAAAATCCCAATCCATACTGATCAATACCCCATCGACGCTAAAATTCTTAAACTTGTGTTGCATATCCCATTCACCGCTATGTTGAACCAAAATTGTGATTCTGTTATCCATGGCAGAAGAAGTATATGAGATTTTTCAGTTGTTTGCTACCTATTCGTTGCTGCTCATCTGTTTAAGTAATACTATAGGGCTTATGGAATGCGGCAGTTACAAATAATAAGATTTGCTGACAATAATGACTAATTATCTTAATTAAGTAGTAGTAGGTAACTGAAATGCGTGATTGAAGTTACCATGTTTAAAGAGTTTTGGCTAGGAATATAAATATTTGCTTGCCTGATGTGTAAAAGACATAATGCTGCTATATGTGCGGAAATTTTCCTACAATTTTGCCTAGTTATGCTTTTTGCTAACTTCCCTTTCATTTCCTTCATCACTCCACGTGCCAAGCGCGTGCGTCATTATTTCCTTAATTTGTTAAAAAATTTATTTAGTATTCGTACAACAACTATTGCCACTTCCTTTATTCCTCCTATTTATTCGCATCTTTTCAGCTGATCCTACCTCTTAAATCAGTATTATTGTCTCTCCTTTTCATTGTATACATCTTAATTTATTCATTTCCCCACCTCCCACCTACTAATTGTTCTTGAACAAAATTTTCCTGACCTGCAGAATTCTTCAACCTTGGTGTTGGAGAAAATTAAGGTAATTTTCTAAAAAAACATGTTCAAGATTTTCATGGATATCTTTTGTTGTGGTGTTTTCAGCTTACCAACAACTTATAATGCAATAATATGATGTGGGTTGTGTCTGTTTTCTTCTGTTCTATTCCCTGCCCCTTTCGTTCATATTGGTTCAAGTTTATACATATATATGCGTGTAATTTTTGGTTATCATTTTATCTAGAAATATTTAATCGTTTGACTAGGTTGATGTCCGGCCATCTTGTGTGCACCTCCACTATTTCACCTTGCACATGTTGCTTCCAGCTAGCACATGTACCGGGTAACTCTGCCGGCCAAGGGTTAGGCAGAATCAGATGAAATCACCTAGTGTTTTTTGCACGCACCTCGACTATTTTCTTTGTAGAAAAGAGAGAATTTAGCTTCTTTAAATGAGGTTTTGTATATATTGACTTTGTTTTTGGTATTATGAAACATTTCTAACTGAAGGTTTAAACGTTCTTTCAAAAATTTTATGGTATGAATTATTTTGCTTTTTTTCAATATGGCAAGTGCTAGCTCTGCATTTTATCTTTGGAGAAAAGAGAGGATTTGGTTTCTTTTAATGGGTGTTAGTGTATGCTGGCTTTATCTTGCTCACAATGACACATTTCTATCTGAAGTTTTGCACTTTCTTTAGTTCTTTTTAACTATGAATCTTACCTTTTTTTCCCTTCAATATGGCAAGTACAAACAAGTATTGTTAGGATTTGAGATGTTTCTTGTTGAAGCAATGTGTTTGAGATTGCGTTGTGTATCAGAAAACTTTACACTTACTAGGAAGGTAGAAATGGAAGTATAGAGGTTTTAGTTTTGTGCTCTTAGTCAGAGGGGATGGAGTGTTTATGCAATGAGTTCAACTGAGCCATTATTTTCAACATGGAATATAGATATACATGTGAAAACTCACTAAATCTTCAACAACGATTAAATTCTGAATCCACAATTTCAAAAGCACAATAAGTTCAATGCTAAGAATTTAGAGGCTAAACTCATCAAATTTAAATTCTTGATCCGCCTCTGCTCGTAGATCATTTCACCTAAAATATGCAGTAGTTTGAATAACTAAGGTGAAACTAACTATTTTCCTAAAATTGGAGCATAAGTCAGTGGTGATAGAACAACTACTGCTTGGTACAAAGTATATATGATTTGAATCTCTTTTGTACCACGTTTCTTTTGCACCATCTTCTTTTTTATGCTTAAGAAATCATCATTCATAATGTTTTTAAGTCTTTGGCATTTGATATAGATCTTATAGCGTACTTCTTCTTTTCAAAAACTTCTCTATTTATTTCGATATCTTCCAAATATCCTTTATTTACAACATGTATGAGTCCTTATGTATTTGATAAAGTACTGATTAGTATCTTTAAATTCAGCTGTGCAGGTCAGTCGTATGAAATTTCCCTTTCCTGACTCTAAGTGGCATGTGAAGAAGCCAGAAATAATCTGACTCTACCTCAATAAATGGATAAAAAACATCACATTGCCATATATACTACTGCAAGCATTCCTTGGCTAACTGGAACTTCCGTCAATCCTCTCTTTCGTGCTGCATATCTTGCGAAAGATGGTGCGCAAAAGGTTACCTTGGTGGTTCCTTGGCTGCCATTGAAAGATCAGGAACATGTGTTTCCGAACGGTATCAAATTTAGTTCACACTTGGAGCAAGAAAAGTGTGTCCATCAGTGGGTGGAAGAGAGGACTGGTTTTGCATCAAATTTTAGCATACGTTTTTACCCTGGAAAGGTAAATCCAGATTTATTTCAACTTATCGAAAAAAAAAACATTTACGGTCATACCTCTCTATAACAGCATCGCTATATAACAAGGAACAACCATTCACTATAAAAGCCAAGTTTTATGGAACCAATCTCTATAACTAACACTTCACTATAACAACCAAAACAATTTGGAACGAATGAGGCTGTTATAGAGAGGTTTGGCTGTAGTTTTTTATTTTCTAAAGTCTGAAATATGATTGAGAATGAATCTAGCTTATAATACCAAAAACACCGAGCTCTTAGAATATGTCGATTAATTTCCACACGGACTTCAGCTTGTGACATATATAGGTATATTTGTGTGTCCGTATCATACAATGTAGTACTGGGAATTACTGAATTTATTCAATGATAATTGCACTGATGTTTAATTTGGCATATTTGTAGAGGTCAACCAAATTATTTAACATGCCACTTTTTCTTTCTTCTGTTCTACCGTTTACTCTTTTTCTTCCCCTCATCCCTAGCAGATTTAGATTGGGAGTGAGGAAGCGGCTTTAAAAGCGTTTAACATGTCATATTTTTCCTTCTGGAAATTTTAAGTTTCTCTAAGAATTACAATTTGCCCCCAGTTAGTTCTTAGAAAACATCCTAGTGTTTCCTTGCCTTTGAAAGTTGCACACAAACTGCAAGCTTCTGATCTTCAATTGTTTCTCTTTCGAGTACTTAGGGGAATGGAGAAATTGAAGTTTTGTAACTTGATGATTTTTTCCTTTTTAAAATTTGTTTTGTATTTTTTCCAGTTTTCTTTTAATTTTTGTAATTTAATGATGTCTGTAGTATGAGAATAGTTAATTTAGACTGCTGCAAGAAAATTTGAGTTCCCTTTTGTGCATATTTCTGGAATAGGTAAAGAGGGGCTTTTTAGCTTTAAAATCATTTGGTTCTTGAGTCTTGACAATATCCATCGTGATAATTTTGTTGTTATCTCAACTGACTGTCTGTTGCATTTGGTATTCACTTTGTATAGCAACAAATCATTATGTTATCTCTTCCAACCTCCTGCTTTTATTTTCTTCTAAAATTAGTGCTATTTCATCAATAATAATGTTTTGATATGAAATCATGGAAGATCATTTCATATTGCAAATTATTCTATTCAATCTGTTTTCATTTATCTGTATTTGTACTTTTGCAATGATAATTTCTGGCAAACTTGTTGAGGAAAAACTGGGATTTCTGCACNGGGGGGAGGGCAGTAACTGGTATGAATTGGTTTTAGCTAATTTAGGTGAAATGTAACTCTTTGAGATCACTTTAATGTGGGATTATTTATGTTCTTTCTTTTGGTTAACTACCTTGAGTTTCAGATACCACTTTGGAGTTCTGAGCAAACTTCCTTTATCTAGGAAAGGAGTTCTTAAGGTAAAGAAAAAGAGTTCTTAACCTAGAGAGAGTTCAAAAAGCCTCTGCTTTAATTTGTCATTTGCACAGGGCAACATGGTAATGCCTTGTTTTCGCTTGAAATATGATCACATCCAGAAATAGGCCACTTAACTGCTAGAAATGCTGGTTAAGTTGAAGGCCACCAAACAACTGTCATCTTCTTTAAAGTTCCTCAGATAGGCCACTAGAACAAAGGAAAAGCAGCACATACATTGTTCCTAATATTAATACGTAAAATTGGTCATTGTCATCCATCTATCTGCATCTTAGCGTTTTGCTTTTATGCAGCCTACATGTAGTGGTATTGAGAAATTAATGCTCTTCTACCAGTATATGGTATAGGATGGTGGCAAACATATTGGTTTTACCTTGATGGATAAATTCAAACTCTTTTACGAATCTGAAATTACTTTTGTGAGACTTAATGGCCTTACTTATGGTTATAACTATGTATCATAATTTTATCGTACTTGATGTGGAATGGCTCAAATAGTTATAATTACTTGCTCTAAATGGCAGGTCATCAGGTTATCTGCTGCCACCCAGGATCTCCCAAGATCTCTGGTCTGTAATGTGCATGGAGTCAATCCAAAATTCCTTCAGATTGGGATGAAAACAAGAGAAAAACAGCAAAAGGATAACCAAGCTTTCAGCAAAGGTGTCTACTACATTGGAAAAATGTTGTGGAGTAAAGGATACAAGGAGCTACTTAGACTCTTACGTGATCATCAAAAGGAACTTACTGGATTGGAGATCAATTTACACGGTAGTGGTGAGGATTCTGCTCAAATTGAGGCAGCTTTTAAGAAGTTGGAATTGGCAGTTAAGGTACATCCTGCACGTGACCATGCAGATCCTTTATTTCACGAGTAAGTGCCTCCAAAAGCTAACAACTACTATCAAGCTTTTTCTTCACTCTTGTTATATATCTAGGGGTTCTGGGGGGTGATTTCCCAACTTACGGGTGTGCATCTACTGTATCTACTTAAACATCTTTCTTTTTCACTTATTCTTTTGGTGTAACGGGAGGAACCATTACGTATCGATGATCGAAACGACTTGATTAATAGATGTTTTTGAGCCACTCAGTCACTTTGTAAATACTTTTGACACTGTTGGTGTGTTAGTAATGATATAAAATTGATTTATATAATAAAAAATTTACTCTATCCGTTTCAATTTAGATGAGGTAGTTTGATTCGGTACGGAGTTTAAGAAAAAAAAAAAGATAACTTTTGAAACTTGTGATCTTAAAAGCTTAAGGGGTAAAAGCTTTATGGGGTCATGACATTTGTGTGGTTATAAAAACTTCTCATTAAGGGTAAAATGAAGAGTTTAAAGTTGAATTATTTCCAAATTTAGAAATGTGTCATTTATTTTGGAATAGACTAAAAAGGAAAGTACCTCATCTAATTTGAGACAGAGGTAGTAATAAACAAGGAAGGAGGAGATAATGATCTTTCTATGTGGACTTATCATACCTATTAGGAGCTTTAGACGTGGCTGTGGCTATGCTTTCCCAGTATCTTATCATCCTTAATGCCTCTGCTTTATGTTTTCAACACGTAAAAAGAATTAGTCTATACATAATTTTTGAGATACCTGAGATGTGTGTGTGTGTGTGTATATATATATCTTAGTACTTTTTGATTCTTCGGTTATTTTTTCACTATAACAATTTAAGAAATTTGGCAGTTACAGTGGTGTCCTCTTGCACCACCCAATCCCAACTCTCATCAGACATTGTTAACACTCTTGAAAAAATAACACAAGTTGAAGGCAAGTGAATAGAACAAGTTTCAAAAACTTGAGCTTTCTTTAAAGCTGTTTTCCTTGTGTTCTATGAAAAAAAAGTCCGTCACTTAGGACAGATGGAATCAGGTTATGGATCTATTCAAGTTAGTCGATTGATCCCTTAATTCTTCTTTCGTCTCCGGACACCTTCGATAGATTTAATTGGAATGAGGATGAGGAATGACCTCTGTGGTTTGACTGTTCGGATTCCAATCGTCTTGTATAAGCGAACAACAAAACTATTGAATCACGGGCAACTTTTGCTGCTACTTTTGATTGTATTCTGAGATGCTTCTTGTCGATTGTTGGAATGGTAGGATCTCCGTTCAGAAAGCTGAAGCCCCAAAAGTCTATAAGGCATTGTAAATGACTTCTTCCTCCTCCTTAATACTCTCTGATATGGGTCGTGACCCCACAACTGGCAAGGAGTTGACTTAACATCTCTGCTATTGGCAGAATTTCACCCTGCATAGATGCTTTTTCACTGCAGATAATTGTGTTGGATGAACTGTGACCTCGTGACGATCATGTCGTATGACGCAACAGCTGCTTCATCAGCTTATGAGCTAACAGGTCGTTACCCAGGAAATTCTGAAGAAGGAAGAAGGTTGGGGACTGGTTTGAGGGTTGATGTGAAAGTATTGGGACAACAAATTTATCCTGGTTTTTGGCTTCTTTTGTGTAATAGGGTTGATGGAACAACACCGCTGCACTGTTAAATTGACAAAAGCATAACAGAAGGTGCAACATTCATCGACTTGAAAACATTGCAATTTAACCACAGGGGATAACTTGTGGGAACTCGGAATAACTTCTAGAACGCAGTACGTCTTAAGCTACACGAACGTATAAATGGTGGAAGCTGCAGAATAGCTAACACCATAAGTAGACCCATGAAACTTCCCAATTTAAATCACTTTCACTTTTAGGATGCAGAGGATTACCAAAGTGCCTCCTACTATCCTCAGTGTGCATAGTAGCAAGTAGGGAACCTAACGAATTCTTGTTCCTACTGCATCAATTCTTGTTCTTTCTTTACATGTTCTATGTACCTTGGCAATTTGAGTTACTTTTAGCACATAATTAAAGTTTGCTGAATGAAGCGTTGGAGACAGTGTATTTATGTACCTTGACTGTAGGTATTGTATTTCATTCTCATATCATCAATAAATGACAATTCGTTTTGTTGTTTTGACTTCAGCTATAAAGTGCTTCTTAATCCAAGCACCACGGATGTAGTTTGTACAACCACAGCTGAAGCACTAGCGATGGGTAAAATAGTTGTATGCACCAACCATCCATCAAACGAATTCTTTATGCAGTTCCCAAATTGCAGAACATATGATGACAGTGAAGGGTTTGTTAAAGCGACACTTAAGGCATTGTCTGACGAGCCTGCTCCACTGGCTGATAAACAAAGGCATGAACTTTCTTGGGAAGCAGCAACCGAGCGATTTCTGGAAGTAGCACAGCTGGACGTCACGCCAGTAAGGAAACAATCAAAGACTACTTCAAAGTCTTTTCTATCGACATCCTTAAGTTTAAAGAAAAAACTTGAGGATGCATCAGCGGGGGTACATTTTGTGGGGACTGGATTTCTGAGTTCACAACCGGATGAAGAGCAATGTAAGGAGCTGGGATTGTCTATTCCTTCAAAGAAAAAGGGATTTTCTTCTGGAAGATGGATCTGAGGCGCATACTCTGCAGGCTGTGTTCTCTATTAATACTGTTAACATCTCTACTTTTTGACAGCCAACAATATTTGAGTTTCTTTCTGTTGACAATCATGGAATTTTGCTGTTCTATTGCAAGGATGGGTTTTTATTTGTTTGGTTGTTGTTGTACAGACTCTTTTGGCTCCCAAATGAGCTTTGTTTTTTAGAAAGGACAAATCAACTCCTTGTATATAGGATGTAACTTATATCCACTGACAGTGTAATGAAGACTTTACATTAATCAGTGCAATTTATTGGTCCAATCATGCATAGTTAAGGATGTTATTTATTGTTCCCCCTGTGTGACAATGTATTTGAACGTTCTTTTGTCCCAGAACTGCAAATTCACGAGAGCATAGTAGGGGTGGGAGTCGGTCGGTCCGATTTTGCAGAAGTTTGCAGAAGTTCGGTTTGGTTTATTTGATTTTCGGTTTTCGACTTATGATTTTAATAATCAAAATCGAACCGTAATAATTTCGGTTCAATTCAGTTTATTCATGTTTGGTTCGATTTTAATCGCTTCGGTTTCGATTTTCAAGCCATGACAAAAATTGTAACCAAACAAATGATATGTTAATTGACAATACAGGGATTACATTATCTGCGTTAATACGTAATACTTCTGGTATCGAAGATTGTGCAGGCTGTGTCTCTCCTTTAAAACTTAGTTTTGATGTAATATTGTTGGATGAGAATTTGTCATAAATGCATTATTAGTTAATTACTCCCGAAGCTCTTGCCTTTTTTGCTTTGTTGCAACTGACAATACTTCTTATATTAGTTAAAACTATCTAATTTGCTTGGAGTCTTGGACTGCACACCACTAAAAAGTACTCACTATCAGTAAACTTACACCGAAAACCGAACCCTTAAAATCGATAACCGAACCGAGCACCGAACTTTTTAAATATATAAACCGTAAACCAACAGAATAAACCGGAAAATCGAGATTGAATAAATCGAAATTTCGATTCGGACGGTTTTATCGGTATTATGCCCAACCCTAAGAGCGTGTCAGCATTGCGTCTATCTCTTTTTTTTTTTGTTTTCTTATTTGAATTTTGTAGTATAACTTGTGAATTAAACAAGCCAACAAGCCCTAAATTATAATGCGTTAGGAGTTTGTCGTTTGTAGTAACTGAATGTTCTTGAAGCTATATAATTGTTACTCTCAAACGCACACGCAAGTATACATGGTCGTACAAGTAATAAAATGATAAGTCGAGTGTCGAACCCACAGAGACTTATATCAACTACCCACTAATTCACCAATATTGTTATTCAGTCAAGCTAAATTCGAGTTCAAGATTGTGATTATACTAAACTATAATTCTGAGTATTAACTAAATTATCAAGCAGTAAATGATTGTTAAGTATTGAATAGAGACAAATATTCTAGGATTTTGATCGATTCACCAATCCTATTGTGTTCTAGTTAACTCTCCCTCTCACACAATTCATTCATGATTGCTAATTAATCGATAATTGCTCTCATAACCTTCTCCCGAAGTACTACTCGCCTATTCAAAATAGATTAACGCCGATATTCCTGTGAAATCAATCTATTATGAACGCATTAAGATTACGATATTTAATAAAGCACGGTGACTAGGTATATTCCTATCCTAATCACAAATTCGCCCCCCTAAGGGTTAAGATCATGCTCTCTTCAATTTTTGTTTAATCTAAACATGGCTTTCCCAAGCATAGCACATATAGTAAATAGAACCTAACTGTTAGCCAGACAATTAAGCAATTAATCACAGAATTGAAGAAACAACCATATATTAATGAATTGATATCAACTTTAAGTCAACATTAAAAAACAATATTTATGGCTAAATCACAACCCCAGAACAGTGGGTTTAGCCACTCCTGATATTAGAAAATAATTTTATAAGTTTGGATAATTGAAAATACTAAGAAAAGATGAAGAAATCTGAGATGTCCTTGCTCCTCGATGTTTCTTGTGTGTATTCTCTCTCCAAAGTGGCATCCCTAGGTCTCAGCTGTGTCAAAAGTCCTCAAAATAGTATTTTTATATGTATTTATACCAAGTAGGGTCGAGCCTAGACGAATCACCCTTTCCTACGCGAAATAGGACTCTGGCTCTGTAAAATTTGTACAGGCGCGCCGCACGCTACGCTGCAGTGTGCGGTGTGCTTGTGGGGAAGTTCAGAGAGCTGATTCTGACAGACGACAGAAGAATTCCAAAGGCGTGGCGCACGCTGCGCCGCACTGTGCGACAGTGTAATTTTCTCAGATTGAAATTATTTCATCCTCTTTTGACATCCAAACTTGGTACACGACCTCCGAACAAGATCCCGACTTAATGTATTGGGTTTTTACTCAGACTTCAAAGCTCTAAATCACTTGAATTCATTCCATAATGCCTACATAGATCGGAATCACTCCTACAAGGCATAAAATACACAATTAGTGAAGAACACTAGCGATTAAAGATCAAACTCAATTAAAGTGCAGTAAATTAGAGTGTAATAAGCGACTAAAATACGCAATTATAGCCTATCATCAACACCCCACACTTAAACCATTACTCGTCCTCGAGCAACCAAACTACATTTATATAGACACGACCTTTTTAAACAATTCTCCTAACTCATCACACCAAGAATATTTAAAATAGACTAAGCACAAGAGTGTAGCATCATCACCTCAAGATTTGACTCACAAGTACCACGCATTATTCACAACTCACCCACTTACTCTAACATAGAGGCCACTGAAATTACCTTTCCTTCATGAATCAAGTGCCCTCACACAACAAAAGAGAGTAGTTCCACATACAATACAAATTAAGAACAATTAGGAACTCAAGATAGAAAGAATTCACTCACTCTCAGAAATAACATTCATATGCCACAAAAGATGCACCATAGGGTTGTCCGTAGTGTATTACTCTACTAATCGAGCTCATTCGGTCTAGGATCAAGTAGGACTTTTTTTGGTTGTAATGTAGGCTGCAGATACATTTAGATATAATAGTGACTACACCTCCCTAAGCACTTTAATACATACACTTTAATATTGAAAACCCCACACTTATGTCAAACCAGAACTCCACCTTCACATCAATATATATTAACTCCCCACTTCTTTAAACACAATTACATCAAGAGTCACCACTATCAAAGAATATTTTTCAAAGCAATACAACTATTTTTTTCTCTATTCAAGTGGCTCTTACTTTTTTGTCAAAACACTTCACCTTTCTCCTTATTTCATTAGTTCCACTCAAAAGCCATACCAACCACCCCACACTTTAACTTTTACAAAGTTCATAGCAATTCAAGTACTCATGAGAGGTGAAAAGGTTCAAATAGATGGTTAATTCAAACAAGTGGGTAAGGTTTGTAATGTGGTTGCCAAAGAAACAGGATTACAGGCTAAATGGGTTAACTATGATACATAACAATTAGGCAGGTAAAATATATGTATGGCTCAACAAAGAAATGCCTATATCGCTTCCAAGACTGAACAAAACTACTATTTTACTTTGCAAACACACGGGGCAAGTTCTACACATCAAATGTAATGCACGGAATAACATAAAACCTTACATACACATGACACATAACTCACTTAGGATTGGACTCATCAAGACACTCTAGTCAAAGAAGTTTGGCAAAGTTAAGATCATACAATTTAAGGTAATTATACAAGAGTCAAAAACTGAGCCTAAGCGTCACAACCAAAGTACTCACTATTCTCAAGGCATGACAAAGTTAAAAGGTATTGCTTCAATTAAAAACATAGCACAAGGTTTCCTACTTCTAAAAAAAATAAAAAAAAACTACACCCGGTTCAAACAAAACTCTTGGAAAAGAACCGTGGCACAAAGAAAAACTAAGGGGGAATTGCTACACTACCTACAAAGAAAATCTTTTTTTAGNCAAAAACTCTACACTAAGAACGAGTACTACAACTAAGCTAAAATAGCACAGAAACTCACCCAAACAATCTCCTCACCCCACACTTAAAATTATGCAATGTCCTCAATGCACCTTATAAATAATAAGAGGGTAAAAGAGATTCCCTGGTAGGTTAAAGGCCAAAGCAATTGCGGCTCACGAGGTACTCAGACTTCCCCCAGGCATCGTCCTTTGTGTGGCACCCCACACTTAGTTCTCATCATCTAACTCGTTTTTGCACTCTTCCAATGGTTGCGCTTCCTATTCTTATAATCCTACAAAACAAAAATAAATACTACAATAACAATAAGAAAAAAAATAAAAATAAAAGAAAACAGTAAAGATGGGTTGCCTCTCAACAAGCGCCTGATTTAACGTCGCGGGATGACGTATGGCCTTGCTTACTCATCAACGAGTACAACTTGGGTTTTCTCATGATCAATTATTCCTCCCCAATAGTGCTTAACTCTATGTCCATTCACCAAAAAATTTCTTTCACCATTTAAAGCTCGCAGCTCAATTGCACTATAAGGAGTGACTCTCACCACCTCAAAAGTGCATGACCGTCTCGATTTTAACTTCCCAGGAAATAACTTTAGCCTAGAATTGAACAATAATACCTGTTGCCCTGGATCGAAGTGGCGTAGCTTGATACGCTTGTCATGTCATCTTTTAGTCTTCTCTTTATATAGCTTAGCATTTTCATAAGAGTGCAGCCTGAACTCATCTAATTCATTCAACTGCAAGAGTCTTTTCTCACCCGCGGCGTTAAGGTCCATGTTCAACTTCTTAATGGCCCAATACGCTTTGTGTTCAAGTTCAACAGGCAAGTGACATGCCTTCCCATAAACAAGCTTATAAGGTAACGCCCCAATTTGCATTTTGTATGCAGTTCTATATGCCCACAAAGCATCATCTAACTTCGCAGCCCAATCCTTTCTATTCACACTCACCGTCTTCTCTATGATTTGCTTTATTTCTCTGTTCGACACCTCAGCTTGCCCACTTGTTTGAGGATGATATATTGTAGCAACTCTATGGCGGACTCCATATTTAGCTAGAAGATTATTCAACAACCGATTGCAGAAATGAGTCCCCTCGTCACTAATTAAGGCACGTAGAGTCCCAAACCTCAAAAATATGTTCATTTTCACAAACGCGGCTACCACCATGGCATCATTTGTTGGCACGGAAATTGCCTCTACCCATTTTGATAAGTAGTCAACTACTAGCAAAATGTATTTATTTCCTCTGGACGATGGGAATGGTCCCATAAAATCTATCCCCCACACATCAAAAATCTCAACCTCCAGGATGTTATTCAAAGGCATCTCATGG